CGCTGACAAGCTGCTGGCTGTCAGTTGGTGTTCGGTGCGTGCGTGAAGCAGCTACACAAATCGCCGTCGCTGTTACCGTCTGCTGGCAGTGAGTGGTAAACTTTAGTGCCACCTCCGTCGTCGCCGTTACCGTCACCGTTGTCGCAGCCGCAGCGGACCCAACACACACAAACAAACACTGTGTAAGCGGTATGTGCATTGGCATAATTTTTCAGACATTGCCTACTTTAAGGCGCATCAACAAAGTGAACTTAACTAATCAAAAATCCAATACGAATTAAATGAAAGCAATAAAGTTCGTTACAAAGACACACTTGACAAGATTTGCATATAAAAAAAGTGAAAAAAAAAACGGATGCTATGTTATATAGTTTTCAACATGCAAGAATTAGTGTACTACTGTGAATGTGTAAGTGCCGAGCTCGAATGTCGAAAATGTGCTCGCACAGAAAGAAAATTTTTGTGTACCCTGAAATTGGAAAAGGAAATACATTCGATGCTATTATTTTCATGCTGCGCTTACATACAATGCCTTGGCAGCGACGTGCCACACGTTTTCATTAATAAAGTTGAAGCAAGAAATTTAAGTGCATAATTTTAGGCGCACAAGCTTTTCCATGCACGCTGGCAAACAAAGTGTCTAATTCAAGGCTTTAATACGAGCTCAAGTGCAAGAGTACTTGCAATTGTGCTAAAAATTAACACACACAAACACCAACACTTCACACACACATGCATCTGAACGAGTATATACGTATGTATGCGTATATGTATGTGGAGGCATTCGCATGCCAAAAGCAAGTGAGCTTAGCAAGTCATTAGTAGATGTTTTATTTGCAATGGATTTGCAAAGTAAAACAGGACAAATGGTATAGCGAAAATGGATAAACGATGGTTTTTTTTTTTTGTATTTTGATTTGTTCTTGTTCACCGCCTTCGTGCTAAGCTTAACCAGCCATTATAGCTGCTCTGCTATAAGCCATGAGACTCTACGAAAGCGTAAGGAATCAGGCAGTAATGGCCAGAGATTCAGGGGAGAGTGTCGTGCGAGACGGGAAACGGAAATGTTTTAGTTAAATTACTCTGCCCGAATTGGCCTATTTGGGCAGCTGATGAAAAGAAAAAAAAAAGACAGATGGAACTACATTCCTTAACATTTGCCGTTAAACGACACAAAGGCATAAATAGCTAAAAAAAA